TTCATCCAGTCCTAAATATAAAAGTCCTTTTGTAGTGTAATTTACACTATAAAAAGAGTCTTATACATTACAAAACGGATCTTATATTTAGGATATAAGGAGTATAATTTATTTATTTGTTAAACAATAAAATAATAAGTACTTAATTAGATTAGATGGACGGCGCTCAAGAAACCAAACTCGCTTTAACTTGCCCGTACCTTTTTGCACGCCAGCTTAGTGAAACAAGCTTGTTTGCTGGCTGGGCTATGGCTGTTGACTTTTTCCTCTAACCCTCTAATTTTAATCTCTCTTCTCACTTTACACACTATACATATTCTTCTTCTTTTTGAAATCTGCACAAACATACACAGTGATTCGCATCAATTGTTATTTTATTTGAATTAAAAAGAAAAGTATGAGCGAAATCAAATTTATGATCTCCCAATTATAGTGAAATTTAATTCATGTCACTAAATTAGGTGGTCATTGCTATTATTTGCATAAATCATTATACTCCTCTTGTCATTAATATAAAACATAATCGTTGAGTTAATTTTGATTATAAATATAAAACTTATTTCTTATATTTATTAATTTTTCCTAAATTACTCATGAATACTCTTTCAACTATAATTAAGTAAGTGAGGGAGGAAGAATATTAAAGAAGATGATTATGGTGTTTTAAGAAAAATATGTCATATTTTTTATAGTTAACTAACTTATCTAATTTTCTTAATCTAATCAAATTAGTTAAACATGTCTTATATTAAAGACCAGAAGAGTATCATACAAAATTCAGAAAATATGCCTGAGCCACTTATCATGTTTCTTCCTATGTGAAAGAGAAAAAAAGGTCAATAGTGTTGATTCCGCAAAATGAAAATTCTCATATAAATAGGAAGTTACTGATTTGGTTCTGTTTGATTCCTTCTTGGGCAATGAGGTGTCCATGGAAATGGCTGCGAAGTTTAATGATCAATTCTTAAATGTGATGGTGATGGCTGATTAGATTCCTAATTAGTAGGTGTTGTTTGAAGGAATCCGTATTCTTATAAATGAAGTAACTTTTGCTTTTAAAGGAAAAGTCATTCTAGTAACTTAACTATAGAATTGTTTAAAATAACTTATAAGTAACTTTTCAATGATGATTTATAAAATTTAAGATAAGTATATGATAAGAATTCTGTTTTAACTTATGTGAAATGTATTTATAAATAATTTTAAAAATGATGCCAAATGGAGTTTATATTACTAAGGAATTATGAATGATCTTTCTCATTTTACAGGACTTTAAATCTTGATTTCCTATTCTCTTAAAAAAGATAGAATATTTATATCTAATATAAATTATTTGGCGCAACATAACCTCTCTAATTAAGTCATACTAGGTAATGACAATATTATCCTGGGAACTAAAGCAACAAGGTTCATGAATTACTGTCATGAGTCATATTTAGACCTTGTATGAGTCATGTCTTATGAATGCTTTCAATATACTTCATATGTATGACAAAAACAATAAAGTCAATGCTTCCTCGTTGGCTTGACTTGTTGCGAACTTCGATGAAACTTTTCATTGACTCGGCCGAATTCCTAAAAATAACTAAATCTAGTCTGCCATGGCTTGAATTTATAGTATGCTTGTTTGGACATTTTTTCACCCAATTGAACAGCTTCAAAATGCAATAAATTAGTAATAAATTTTTATATTCACTAATTTTTTAATTTTATAAACACGGCTAACCTACCCTCATGAAAAAAAAAACAATTTGTAGGAGTACCAACTTGACTTCAACTATTTGCTAACAACCTCTTAATTTAATGACACCCCAAACCTCTTCTCATAAAAAAATTACGAGTCTGTGTCCTAATGTTACAAAAACCGAACGAGATAGGTGGGCGTGTAGTTCTTCTCCTCAGCGCAGAGAACTTTTAAATTGCCTATATTGGGAAGGGAAAAAAAAAAACTTATCTCCATGGTATTTGTTTGCCTCCAATTAAAAAAAAAGGCCTTTTTATCTTTTTGTAAAACAAAATCTCTCTAACATATTTACTTCATACCACACAGGATCACACAATCACTTAAAACAAGTTAATTCAAATTCCTCCTAAATCACCCGCACTGTGTTTGTAGTTAGATTAGATTAGATGATATTGTTATGTGCATTAGAAAATGTTCACTAATTAATGACTCATCAATTTCTTAGCGTTGGAGAGAAGCTGGGAGTGGAAAAAGACGCTGAAAGGCTGTCATACATTGCATATGCACTATTGCTTGAGTGCCTCCTGGAAGAAATGATCTGTGAAACATATTATTATTATTATTATATTGTAATCATAGCTATTATCCAAATCACCGCATTGGATGAAAAAGGTAGAGGCAGCACGTGCCGGCATGTGCCTCAGACCTTGCCTTAGCTTTGGCTTCCTAAGCAATGCTTCATGATTCCCCTTTTCTCATCCTATCGCCGGCCAAGCCCCAACAAAAGCAACCTCTCCTTACACGTGGCCCCTTCCCACCAACGCACCACAATACGGCGGCCGCCCATAAATTCATCGCAAACAACAAAAAGCCCTTCCATTCCCACATCACCTCCTCTCTTTCCAGCACCCATCCAATCACATCACACCAAAGTTTCAACCTTTCCATATATGCGTGTGGTTGTGTATATAATAACACGAGAAAGGTCAAGCTTCTGCCAAACTAATCTCAATCTCAAACACAATAAACTCACAAATGGAGTGGACTAGGGGGCACACCATCGGCCGGGGTTCCACCGCCACCGTGTCGGTCGCTGAGTTTCATGGGTCTGGTCGGATTGTGGCTGTCAAGTCTGTGGAGCTCCAACGGTCGGAATGCCTTAGGAGAGAGCAGAGTATTCTATCCACATTGGAGTGTCCTCATGTTGTTGCCTACGAAGGTTGTGACACCACATTTGAAAATGGTGCGTTCATGTACAACTTGTTCATGGAGTATGCGCCTTACGGGTCGATCGCCGACGAAATTCGCGAGCGTGATGGTGGGTTAGATGAGTTTATGGTTGGACATTATGCTCGTCAAATTCTGCTTGGGTTGGACTACTTACATTCCAATGGGATTGTGCATTGTGATTTGAAAGGCCAGAATGTTTTGCTCACTGATGAAGGGGCTAAAATTGCTGACTTGGGTTGTGCCCGGAGAGTTTCGGCGGAGCAGAATTATGGTGGGGTGATTGCCGGCACCCCGGCGTTCATGGCACCAGAGGTGGCGCGAGGGGAGCAGCAGGGGTTCCCTGCCGACGTGTGGGCTCTTGGCTGTTCTGTGCTGGAGATGATCACCGGAAAAGCACCGTGGCATGACATTTCCGACCCGGTGAGTGTCCTCTATCGAGTAGGGTTCTCCGGCGAGGTACCGGAGATTCCAAGCTTCTTGTCGGAGCAAGGGAAGGATTTTCTCACCATGTGCTTGAAAACAGATCCGAACGAGAGGTTGTCAGCAGGTGAACTTCTCAAACACGAGTTCGTTCAGGATTCAAACACAGCGTCGAAGAAATTTGATGAGCCTAGTTCAAATTCCCCAACTAGTGTGTTGTTGGATCGAGATATCTGGGACTCGTTTGACGAGCTGCAGAAAACCCAAACACCGGATCTGAACCCGACCCCGACCCATGGTCCCGCCTTCTCCTGGGATCCTCCTGGCCCCAGAAGTAGAATTCGTCGGTTGTCTTCTTCTATGCCCAATTGGGAATGTGATGACGAATGGATCACAGTAAGAGACAGCAGCATCAATGGCGGAGAATCTAATGAAGAAACAGAGAATTATGGATTAGACAGTTCAAATTACATTAGAGAGGACAATTATTTCATTGTTATTGGTGAACCCAGAACAATTAGTACAGTTGGATTGAGCGAGTGTTGTAATATTAATGATTATTTCTGCATCAGAGAATCTTCATTAGGAAATTCGCAATGTATAAATATGGCTGCCAATAGAAATATATTGCATGACTTGCTTTCAGTTTTCCCTCTCTCTAATCCTACTTTTGGAAGCATAATTTTCTGTTGCCTGTTGCTTCTACAGTAGCAATCCGCTATAATTACTGCGGTAAGAAAGAACAGGGGAAAATAACTGATGAGGTGGCTCTAGATTCGAACAAAGACCAGAGGCATAATCACTTTTAATTTAAATTTCAAGTCAAAAACTCCTGTGATATACATTAAAATATTTCTTAATTTGATGGATCTTTTCAGCGCTTGAAATTTTTTCGAGTCCAAATTATGATATCGAAATTGAGACAAATACACAAAATTATTTATTAGAATTAGATAGAAAAATAGACTATACTAAGTAAATTTTAAAATATTAATAATATTAAATACAATAGTTTATTATAGAATAAGTAATACTACCTCATGTCTTTAATGTGAGATATAGTTTGTAGTTTAAGTTAAGGAATGAAGGTAGTTCATAAAAAAAATTCACACGTCTTGATTTGGTTGATAACAAGTGCCTTATATATACGAAGCCAAGTATATGAGTTACTAATAGAGGTTAATTGCTTAAATATAAAATCTCAAGTTTGGGTTTATATGAATACTGAAAACATATTTGGGAGAACCATTTCAGATTAAACCCAACAATGCTCGAAACTTGAAAGTGAAAAGTCCAATACTAGTTAAGTTCCTTTTATCTGGAAAAGCAGTGCATACAAATTATTGATAACTTTCTTGGATTTGTTTAACGTTCATAGTTGGTATTAAATCAAACCAACATGCTGTACCAAAATATAATCACGATTCACAAATCAGCAGCAGACACTTCAGGCTTCTATACATATTTTGTCAAATCTTGGAGGCAAAACAAGTTCTCTATATTTCACCAATGAAAAAGAAAAAACAAAGAAAAATAAACAATCTACAGCAGGCAAAAACAACTCAACACTGCGTATGAAAATAGGATTTATCACATTTTGTTAGCACAAAATTTATCCAACTTCATTCCATTTCAGTAGAATGAAGTCTAAATTTGAAGCCAAAACAAAAACTTCTCTTGAAGAACATTGTTGGGAAAGATTGATAGCCTCTTGTCAGCATAGTGCCATGGTACTCAAGAAGAGTGCGCCCGAAAATGTGTCCTTTATATGTTCTTCTTGCCACCTGAGTGTGAGAATCGGCGATCAGATGAATCAAGTTCGTTGCGGAGGTTCTGGTTTTCTTCGAGCAAGCGATCATACTCAAGAAGGAACCCCTCGGATTGTTTCCTCAGAGCAACTGCATTGGCTTCTGCAACTTTGACATCTTCTGTTTTTGATACAAGTTCAGATTCCAATCGTTCAAGTTCTGCTCTCAACTTGGCTGACTCTTCTTCCAAGTCTTTCATTTCTTCTGGACTTGCAATTTTTTCGTCTTCGGGCCCTCGTACTTGATTCTTAATAGCCTCCACGCTCTTTCTTTGCATTCGAAGTTCTCTTATGTAATGGTGCAGTCTGTCAACCATAAATACGAGGAAAATCACAAAACCTGCAAACAAGGCCAAAACCAGACGATCAATCGCTAACAAGAATGAATATCTTCATCCAAGTATTAGGTAAACTCCTGCAACTCTAAACATTCTTGTCTTGATTGGACTGGAATTTAAGATATGGCCATCATTAATGTGTTTTAAGGTCTGAACGGGTGTTCTTGGTAATTTAATGGCACTATGTTGGTGACATGACAATGAAAGCACATTAAGACAATGAGTTGATTGATTTTTAAGGCATCAGAATGTGAATGAAGTGATCTTCCCTGTTGAAGTCCCAAGATTCTTCATGGAATCACATCTGATCTCACTATGTTTACATATAATCATATATAGCACAGGGAAGAGAATAATATATGACTAAGAAAGATAAGAAAGAAAGCAAGAGCAGAAAGTAAGCCCCTTTACTAAGAAATGGAGATCTCTGCGGATTTAAGCCCCAGAGCAAAATTGTCATTCTGTGACTTCTTTGTTATGAAACTAAGTAGTCTTCCCCTTCACAGAATGAATTCAGGAATGAAACTATGATTTCCACACAAGATAATTTCCACACTGCGCTTAAAAGAGCGCCTTAAGCAGGAAGTATTAGGGGAAACACAATTATGTACTTGAAAAAATCTTGAGAAGAAAGAAAAATTACTCATATTCTGCGATACAAAATTGCAACAATATTTGGACAAGTTAGTAATTGTTGAAAACTATTTAACCAATATTCATTAAACAATTCCGGTAGTTACATGTTAGTGAGGAAAGGACTATAGAAATATTAAGGCCATCAAGATCAGGCTGAAAGAACTGTCACGTAGCACTAGTGTCTGGATCAAACTGAGATACCAGGCTTTATTGACACAGTAGCTGGGGAAACTCTTGCCAGACGCAATGCCTATGCACTACATGCAGGGAAAACAGGAAGCAAGGTAAACTTCATGTATGTGGTCATCATCATAGAATAATCTTGCACAGAAGCTAATCCCTCATCTTCCATCAAACTGAAGTATATCTGATAACTCAAGATTAAGACACCAGAGGAACAATTGAGTATGTACAAGGATTTGTTTATCCATGTGACTGCACTACCTTTGAAAAAGCAATCATCATCAATATATCAAAAACTTGCGTCCATACAGTTAATACATAGGTCCTCTGCCCTTTATTAAAACGGTATTTGAAAACCATTGAAGGCTGGTTTTTTTTCCTTTGCTGGATATCAACCCCCCTCCCTTCCTCTTTCTCAAGAACTACAACACTTTTCGTAAACTCACATTTACCATTTTATTCAGAAGCTTGCGTAGCTTCAGATGCAACCCGCAGTTCGCTCACTGTAAGTTAAGAAACTAAGAAATCACCATTGAACAGAAACGTATTCTAGACTCAACTATAGAATCTAGACACGAATTCTGGATTCCACGATGATGGAAGGACAAAGAAGGTGAATTCATTCAGTTAGATCTTAACGCATAAAGTGACACTCATTCGATAAAGCAAATTCCAAGTTTGAATCAGATTCGCCTATCAAGCCACGATCTCACCCAAAGCCATCCTATTTAAACTTTAATCCCGCAAAGAATCCTAATCAACTTTAAGCCAGGAGAAAAAACAGTGAAAACATTTCCATTCAGGTTAAAAGCAAAATTATACTCGAAAAAGCGAAGGGAGGAATACCCATAAGAGTAGCTTCAAGAAGGTGCCGCCCCATAAGAACCTGATCAGTAGGATTTGCAGCTCCATTTTCGATCCCACGCTTCCAAATCTCCATCATGCTGTAAACAGTGGAAAGCAAAACGACGATAATTGTTCCGGCAACGGACTTCACCATTAAGGGTCCTCTGCCCCGCTTCAGCCGATCCAAGCCCATGATCACCAGCTTCCTTAAAGGGGTCTTAAATAGCAGTACCATTATCAGTGCCATCTCCAAGACAATCACTAAGAACAGTAAATTAATCATCTTTCTTAGCAGTGAAGTTCAGAGACTTATAGATCTTTACTATTTGATTGAGGTTTATTGATAATTGACTAGGAGTTAACGAGACAGAATGCTGGATCCAATTCTAGGATTTAGGTCACACAGTCATAGAGCTCGAATCAAGAGGAGAGGGCCGGTTAGAATCTGACAGCAGAAATATGAGTTGGCAGAATGGAGACCCTGTTAAGAGCTTAAGAGTTAAGACTGAAGAATTCTCAATTCTGAAGGAAGCAAACAGAGTGGGTTTCCACCTCTCGTCACTGCTTCAAAATTGGCAGAGCTCTTTTCCTGTTAAGTCCTCAAATTTTCTTGTTATTACAGTAAGGACCCAAATTTCTTCTGTGCTGCTGCTCGCTTGCTTTTGCTCGTGACTTTTCTTCCCCATCTTCTTTCCTTCCTCTCCCTGTTTTTGTTTTTTTCGACAGGGAAAGAATTAGAAGATTTTCGTTTACGTGTCAAGTAAGCTTCTAGATAAGTTTTTGATTGAAAACTTTTGCATGAAAAAAATTAACCATATCGTTGTATTTTTGTTCCCCCTATTTTTGTTATATATTATCATTTTTTTTCGTCTTTATGTTATTTCTTTTCTTTCTTTTTTTTAAACAACAACTTGGTTTTTACGAAAAAGGTGACCCGCATATTAATTACGCGCACAATCACATAATTGACACTTTTGAATGCTTTTGAGAAATAAAGAAAATTTAAATAATTTTTTAATTGATTGTAGTATATTTTTGAATGTAGGGATAATTTTGGAGGTTATAAAAATAGCAAAGAAGCGTGAATAAAGATGGATCCAATTTAGTATGAAACTGAATTTAAGTTTAGTGAGAAAATGATATGTGACGGAATGGGGTTTCTGTCATCAAAAAGATGGATTCAAGTTGTAAGAAGCGTGTGGCAACAAAAGGAAAGGAAAGGAAAGATATAATTTGGTAAGGCTATCAAACAAGTTGCTCTGCACTTTAGCTCAGAAGAAGAATATGTTATGTTAAAGATGATATTTGCCTTTTATTCATTTTTTAGAAAATGAAAATGATCCAGTACCCATACCTTGGAAAAAATAAATTTTGAAAATGACTTGAAGAAAGTCTCTTGAGGAAATTAAGGAAACACAACTTGTTCTATTAAAAATTTAAGATTTATTACTCTACATGATATGTTGAGCCTGAGGGTAGGGCTTTGTCTCATTCAATTTCTTTGTGCCTTCATTGTTGCTTTGTGCTTGTACTTTAGAGTGCTACCAAGGTTGAAGGATAATGTATTTAAATGAGGAAGAAAACCAATCTTATTTTTCTTTAAATTATTAACTCCTGTTCTAATTATAAGACCTTATTTATAAAAAAATTGTAAGTACCTGCGATCTTAATTATAAGATCTCATTTGTAGATTATAAAAAAAATTTTATAATTAAGACCCTAGGTAGTATTATAATTTTGATCTATTATCACATTTTCAATCACACGATATATGGATGTTGCTTCTTTCTTTCTTTTTTTGGGCCAATCACAAAATCAAGTTTTTTAAATTAAAGAAATAGCCATTCACCCAAAATATATTTCTTGATTTATAAAATATTAAATATTTAAAAATGATAAAAATGGAAATAAGGAATGAATCTCATATATATATATATATATATATATATATATTCACAAGACACCAGATGCTCCTTACATTAGAAAAATAGTTAAAACTGATTTGTATAGAAAAGCCGAAATGCTTTTTCGCTAACTCCATAAAAGATGATTATTATTGAAGTTTGTCGGCACAGCTTGATCTCCTCACATGAACACATCATCCGTTAATCATGCCGACCTTAGTTTGATCAAATTTTTTAATAATTAATTAATTGTAGATCTGACGTTGTTTTTCTTTTTTTCAGTGTGGTATTTCAGTTTTTCTTTGCTACAGATTGTCGACCTTTAATAACATGTGTAAAGGCCCAATAAACGTTTAAATGGGCCGAGCTCTCCCTTTCTTCTATGGGCCCATACATTCTGAAAATTAGCATTTATCCATATTTGATGGTTTCTCATGGAGATTCCGGGAGTGTTTGGCAACCTCCAAGTCATAGTTTCAGAAATATTTTTTCGTAAAACGAGACAAATTCCTCTATATATTTACTTCGTAAACCGTAAAAACACTTTTGAAACCATGGTTTGGTTTCTATCCAAACACCCCCTCCGCAGCTCGTTCAACGACTTAAAAAATTCAAAGCATGTCCAACTCGTAAGGCATACTAGCCGAAGGGGCAAAGATCAAAGTTCTATTCAACAAAATCCAAAGCTATACTGTTAGATATACTCCGAGTCATGTCTTTTTCTTTTGAAAATTCTATCAGTATATTTCTCTCATCCCTGATTACAAATAAATCATCAGATACCAGTGTAGTTGAATAATAAAATGTATAAATCGTGTATAAAAGAATAAAGATATTAGAGGCAAAGCCAAAATAAATCCTAGAAGTTTATGGACACAGTAAATCAATACAAATGAAAATACTCCTAGAACAGCTTGCTGGCAAAATCTTCATCACTGGTCTTCTCCTGATCTGTGGATGCTAATGTAGCAAATTGCCTGAGTTCAGATATACTCCTGCTTAACTGTAAAGCCATTTTGATCTCTAACAATTGCCCATTTTCTCTTGTATCAAATTCTTGCTCCTTCATGTTTTGCTCTATAGTCTCTTCCATGAGTTTCAATAACCCAGAAGCTCCCCTGTAGAACTCAAACATCATCCCAATTTGCCCACCATGCTCTATTGTGTTCACAACACTGGCCAAAACTCCACCCATGACTCCGGCCATCACAGTCCAGGATGAATCGACAGAACCTAAGAAGGAAGAACCCAAAGCTGCAATCCCAGTGAGTAATGGGCCGGAAATTGCCAGTAGCTTGTTAAATTTCAAAGCTTTTTCACTCAATCTCACACATTCCGCTATGTCCTTTCTTCTCAGAACTCTCACGACCTCTTTTAATTCTTCTACCAACCTGTCATCCCATCCATTATTTCCCTTTGATCTTGCACCGAATTTTTCTCCTTTTGTTTTACCCCAATGCTTCAATTCAGGCCACCACCTTGCTGGTTCTACTTTTCTGGGGAATTTATCAAGCATTGAGCCTAATAAAGGAAGTGGGTATGCCTTATCCAATGCCAAGACTTTCTCCATTGCTTCATTCACATCATCGTCATTAGGATCCCCAAGAGAAAGCCTTGTTCTGAGTTCCCTATGAAGCTGCTTGAACAATCTAGTTGCGTTTCTTTGTTCTTCTGCAAGCTGAGATGGCTGGATCTTGTTCATCACCACAAGCATCCCGGTGACTGCAGCATAAAGAACTGTCGAAGAAACCTTCAGAGCCAAAAGTGGAGCATTGCCTGTACCAATGGCTGCAAAAGCAGCCATTGTTGCGGCAGAGAGAGTCATCATGTTAATGGATGTCAGGAGAAGGTGATTCCAATTGTCACGTTGTGTTCCAACGTTTTTATGCATCTCCACTCTATCTGCTACAATTTCCATTATCAAATGAAGCTTAGCAACCTCCATGGAAACTTGATCACTCTTGCAGCTATTGAGGGCAGAGTAATGAAGAGAATCATCTTTTATCTGATTTGTGGCTATGGCAGTAGATGGGATATAGTTATTTATATTCAGCTCTGCCTTCAAAGCTTTATTATGATCAGGAACCCTCGGAAAAGAGATCCGACGCACCCGGATCTTCGGCACGGTGTTTGTGGCAGCAATTGTTCTTGTTCTCTGGCAGGAGAGTGAAGAACAAGAAACTGATGATGCGCTTGAAACAAGAAGCTTGGCCATGTGCTATTATGACAACGCAGGTGTAGTGTAATGTTTAGATTCTTGTAGATATAGATGATTTATATGGGAATGTAGGCTGGCTTTGAAATGTTTATTATATAAAACAGACCGACAGAGATGTGTAAAAGCTCAACGAAGGATGAATTTGAATCCACTCCTCCGAGTTCTCCTCCCTATTCTGACTTTCAAGTTTCAACGACCAACCGAGTAAACCGTGAAGCCATCCAAAACTTACAAATAATTTATTTCAACAGGACTTCAGAGTTGAAAATAATGATTATTATATTAACCCTGAAGTTTTATATTGTCTTTCTTTATTCTCACCATCCCTCATATTAAAGTCTTCCCCATCTCCGTTAAACTATTCTTTTAATGCATGGCTAAACTGGCAATCAATACATTTTTTTTTTGGGGTAACATTTTGACGGAGTTTAATAACGTATGGCCGAAGTTACATGACAAATTGTTTATTCACGTGGGTTCGGTAAAATACCAGAGCGTAAATTGTCACAGTATACAGATTTTCAAGTGATGACATTCCAACAGTGCTTCATTTTTCGGACCAATTACGTTCATATAATTCGCCCTCGTTATATTTATTAAGCAATTTTCAACTCATAGTAGTGCCACATGCTTCTCCGAAGTTCACACCTTAATCACATTTCAAGTTTGATAAGATGTCAACCTTTTAGGGGGGCAAAAAAAAAAAGGTAACTTGAATTATGGGTTCACAGTTTATTGTTTTTAAAAGCATTCTAGAGTCAGACTTTGTCGCCAATACATACACTTTCGAATTTTTAATACTTTAATAGCAATTTGAAAGTCATACATAATATTGGAAACCCAGACACACTCGGTTTCACAAGACAGATAGGCAACAGCGAATTTGCCACGTCATCCACAAAGCAAATATTGACCTTTTGGGCAAAAAAATATTTTGACTTTCATGATGGTTTAGCATCCAACTATGTTTGATCTTTTTGAAATACTTCTCCAAACAAACGGGAGTCCTTTTGACATATAGATAAACTACAGGGTATGAACAAGTCTGAACACCACCACCAGACTACATTCAAAGGAATAAAAATAAAATGAAGTCCTTCCAACATATTGAAAATTTAAGATGTCTTCAGTGATTTTAAAATGAAACAGTAAAGCCTGATCAAATTAAACACTTTTGCGCTGTATTCTCATTTACATCAGGCCTTGGTCAGCACCAGAGATCGTGCTCTAAGATTTAAGAATATTCCCCTGAAATAAAATACACATACGGAATTATTTCAGTTTGTCGTTGTTAGCCAAAGAGAATTATGATTAGAGGAAATCAATAAAGCAGGGGAAAAGGGCAAAAATAAATAAGTACCAGCAGAATGCAACTGAGCTTTGGAAAATAACTCGGAAATGGAGAGGCAAGAATTGGTGATTTATCCACCCCACAACAGGCCAGAACTGCAATTCAATTCATTTGGGGGATTCCAAAGTCAGGGGAAAAGGGTAACTTCTTTGAGAAATTATCGGAGTAAATTAGTTTACAGATATTTAAGAATCAAGTTAATCATGAATAAACATGTGCGTGGGTACACTCTTAAGTGAAACTCATATTTCCGAATTGTTATATTTATATGCATGTTCATGATTAAATTAAAACTACTTATGATCAACATAGGGCAGAGCTAGTTGATGCAAGAAGCCAATAAAAACCGAGTGAAATAGATGTGTCAGTAGATCCCCCAGATGAAACATCTACGTTCATGAATTACCGTATTCTATTTTTTTCCCCAAATGGCTTAGTTTCTAAAAAATTTCTGTATTTCTACTAAGGAACATGTTGCCATCATCTGCAATGGAAATAGAACACTACCGTCCACGCTGTGTATTGCACCGATGGGTAGTCCTTCCTAACTTTAGCTTTCACATGCATCCACGGACGTCCTGCATTTCATTCACCTTTTCATCAGAAAGAGCAGTAGTTTGCATGCCTTTCAAGGTTGACTAGCCGTCATGCTCTTTTAAGATTGCTTTTACTTGGAACTATAACTTTTCAGTTTCTTCGTTCTTTGAATTAATAATATGTTGACAATCACGAGTTGACCAGGAAACTCATGCTTTGGCTAACTAAAATTTGACCCTCAAGAGGAATTAATAATTATTTGATCTCATCTTCCACACCTGTTTCTCTGTATCCATGTGCCCAAGATGTAAATACAAAAGTTACGTGTTCTAAATGTACTAACCTTCCACAATATAACCATAATAAATCATGAAAAGCAAGTTGTTCCAAGGAGAAACAGTCAACTGTTCGATCAAAACCTGCGTAAGACAATGTAAAGGAAGAGGAGCCGTTAAAGAAAGACACGTTTTTTTGGGTCTCTCTGTTAAGTTAGGTGATCGGTTATTCAGGTTTTAGTTAACATAATTCATGAAAACTATCCACAATATCTCATTCATATTTGACTGATTGATGCTGAAATACACGGTAATACGCTTGAACAGATTTGTTAGTCTCACAGGGGGCGAAAGCGTGAGATAAGCATATGGATGATCCAATTCAAAGTTTCTAATAGATAAAAAAACAGGTGGTTCAGCAGTTTTAGTACCTTTTTGGCTACAGTTTTTGAATCTTTCTTCCCTCTGAAAATTTTATCAAGTACCAAATGATAAAAATGACCAAGTGGTCCAAGATAAGCAGCTCCAAATATCTGCATGCAATAAAAAGTTCACGTTAACAACGCATAGCACATGCCACCCAACACGGTTGTAGTTGAATTAAACTATCTAAACAAAAACTTATGAATTGACAGCTATATTTATTCCTTTTCTTACAACTAAAAAAATTAAGAATCAGATAAATCATTGTCGATTTATTGTTTCAAGGTACCTCCTCCAGTGCTAATTAGAAAACGAAGGTAACCAATGTCAAGTTTCTTAAAAAAAGGCAGTTAATATCCTTAAACTTGTAGAAGAATATGTGATTTTTACCCTTGGCTGAAATCAATCACCATCAATGCAGTTCACTCCAACCTTGGGTTGCTATGACCAGAAAAAAATTTCTATCTTGGGATCTGCTTTATAACCTTTTTTTTTTTTAATAGTTTCACACATTTGCCTTCATAAATCAAAATGTAACCACGAGGCGCACAAAAATCTCCCCAGGCACAAAGGATGTCATATACATACTCTGTTCAGCATTACTACAAACAGCTTATGTTCATACGGTCCACTGTCTTCGTTACGTAATTTCCTACCGGATTTTTTTTTTTCGCTTATCAATAAACCAATACGTCTGTTACAGATGAACATTAGAAACTTATGAGCTTACCACTTTGAGAAGAAGTCGTCTCAGTTGAATTTTTTGTATGCCCGTTAGCTTCTGAGAGACTATATCGCTGATCCCAGACAACACTCCCGCTGTGATTACCTGGTTTAATTTAATCCCGAGAAGGAAATTGACATTAACGCGATAAAAATCATAAAATCGAACCCAGATGATATTTCACCAGTCGATTTCCAAAGCGAAGGGAGGGGAAGAAAGGCCGCAACTTCCGATCAAACAAAGGGTCAACGGAAATGAAAGCAGAAGCAGAGAAACAGTGGAGATAAAGGAAGAGTGAAACCTTGGTTCTGAGAGGATGTTGCCGGAGCTGTCCAACGTAATTGTTTAGTCCCTTCTTCGCAATGGATCCCATCTTTGCTCAAAGGTTTGACCGGAAGCTCTCTGTGCGACTGTGAGAGAAGTACTCACCTGCCCCTCTTTTTCCCTTCTCGGTATCGAGGTCGTCCCCAACTTGTTGCAAAGCATCTCGCCAGCAGTAAATCACCAAACAAAGCATAATTAAAAAAAATATTGTGTGGTTTTTCATTAAAAAAATTGCTAAGAAAAATCAGGGTTTTGTAACCCAATTAACAGTAAACACTTTTTTAAGGCAATAAATTCAAATTAACACTGGACAATCACGTAGGCGTTAGTTAAGGCTTCTCTCTTGTTATCAGAAAAGGCAATAAATTCAAATAACCAGAAGGCTAAAATATACATTTAGTCTTTTAATTTTATGTAAAGTTTTAGTTTGGTTTTTTAATTTTAAAAAGTATATTTTTAGTTCTTTAACTCTAAAATTATTAGTCATAAATGATGATTTTTTTTTGTAAAAATCATAGTTATTTTGAAAATTAAATTTAATATTATAGTACTCCCTCCGTTCCTTATTATAAGAGACAAATAACCGAAGTACGTTGATCAAAAAAACAGTTAAAATTAGTTAAGAACAATTAATGTGTAAAAAGTATAATTTTTTTCCAAAAATGCCCTCATTAATAAGGAGAGAGAATATGAGAGAGAACAATTAAATTATTAAAAGAAAGAGAAGTGGGAGGGAAAGAGAGTGTGAGTTGGAAATAATAAATATGGGTAAAATAGTAAATCAACACAAAAAAGTAGAGACAACTTGTAAGTGTCTCTTATATATAGGAACATGCCATAAGCATCAAATGTCTCTTATAATAAGGAACGGAGGGAGTATTTAGTAGTGTCTTATCAATATTCAAGGGCTCAATATTATCGTTTTTTATGAACGATTCTAAAATTAGAGAACTAAAAGTTTACTTTTTAAAATTAAGATATCAAAATAAAATCTTATATAAAGTTAAAAAAAGAAAAGTATATTTTAGCCTAACCGGGAAAAAAAAAAAAAAAAGTCCCAAGCCATAATGATACGGAGAGAAAGACTAGCACGAATAAGGATTAACGCACTAGGACGATATATATTGTTTGTTATAATAAAATGATCAATATGCAACGTAACTGCTCGTTGGAGAAATGACATTTGTAAGACCTCGTAAAAAACATAATAATGATTAAAAATAATCTTTTAAATCAGGTTTTTTATAAGAAAAAATAACAATTAAAGACTCCTAATATGTGAAATTATGATTTGGGACTTTCAATTTAAAAAATAGTAAATAAAAACTAGGTCTCATATTGCAAATATGAAATCTTGGTAAAATGTCTGAAATGCCCCTAAGCCAAATAACATATTGATTATGAGAAGTGACAAGTTCACTTTAGTGAATGATAATTTTAGTAGACTTTTCACAACTTGATTAAGGGTATGCCAAATGACAAGTTGATTATAAGAAATGACAACTTTATTTTAGCAAATGACAATTTTAACAAACTAAATCACAATCTGACTGAGGGGCATTTCAAACATTTCATCAAGATTCATATTTTCAATATGAGACTAGGCCTCTATTTGTCATTTTTCAAATTAAGAGTCTCAAATCACAATTTTATATATTGGACCGTGTTTATTTACAATGTTCTCTTTTTATAATTTCTAACGGAATTTTCAACTAGTTTTCTTGATTTCTGGGTCTGAGTTTTAAGTTAATATCTTTACAATCCTGTAAGTTGAGTCTACGCTCGGATTGTTTTGGCTTCTTTCTACTAAGGTTTCCCCCCTTAATTTATTGTACTATTCAAATCAAATCGTAGTAATGTAAATTAATTTTTTTTTAATGAAAAGAATGACTAAATTTAACTCAGCAGTTTCAAACGATCCATAGTTAGGGGAGAAAAAAAACAACATTCTGGACACATCGTACGTTAATCATTTCTTCATGGCAGGAGCATGCTTTGCCTTACTCTATGACCTTATGCTTCTATAAGCTTCTATATATGTTCTAATTCTGCCTAGTGTCTTAATTAGTCTTGGTGAGAAGCTTTAATAGATTTTTTTCCCAACTACTTATCAATTCGTTGTGATTATAATAGACACCACAAGAAACGCATTATCCAACTAATCAATAACTAGTTAAGTTCAGCAAAGCTAAACTTTTCTTACACAAGTTTTCCTAAGCCATATCATATAGCCAGAGAATAAGAAAATCTGAACAAGTTTCAAACATATATAGCTATCTCTTAGCTGAATATATAGCATTGCAAAATTAAAAATGATCATGACCAGCAAGTAGGAGTAGAAATAAGCCAGACCTGTTAGGGGCCTGTGACCTGACCTATAAGTGGCCTAGCTTGACCTATATATATATATATCAGAATAAGTTCAGGCATGTAAAAAGGTCTATTTACTTTATCAAACCAAGTTTAGGCCTAATAATAAGTTTATAGGCCTGTTAGGCGGCTTGAGCCTATTATTTATTTTTTTAAGATTAAAATTGTAAATGGATAGATATTAAAATTTAACTAATTACCCACTGCCTTAACCCCGGTCATCAAGGCAACTCCTTCTTATCTACCTACAATTGTTGTTTTAATTGGAAAAATATCAGCGTCTAGCGAGCATGAATATGTAGGAGGATATATGATTGATCAATGTGCTATTAATTATGCATATATATATTGATATATAGTAATTGTAGTTATTAATTACTTGAGGACCTTGCTGAATATTGGGATCAAAAGGGTCTCCAACTACCCTAGCTTGCCTTCTGCACCACTTTTTTTAATCAGCTTTTTAATTTGTTTTTCATTTCTCAAGCCGTCTTGCCTTTTCTCAAGCAACAAGCATGGTTTGAAAAGGAAATCAAAAGTACAAATTTTGAATTCTAAAAATAATATCATTTCTTGTATTTGTTAGTTATTAAATTTTTTTATAATCTAATTAATACATATTTGGTTTCTTCTTATCAGGTGTTTGAACAAGAAGAAGAAATTGTGTTGAAGATTTAATACTTTGCGGTTTGATGATTTGCTGTAATTGTAGCAACTAGCAAAAACAAATTATGTTAATTTGATAATTTTATATTTTCTGTTTGTATTTTAAATAAATTGGGTTGAATTATTGTAATTTTAAATTAATTTATGTATGTTTGAAACCTGTTAAAAAATCAGGCCTTTTAATAGGCCACGAGCTAGGTCAAGCTCAAGTCGAATAAAAAGTTTTTCATAAGTCATAGGCCAGGTTCAAGTCAACAGGCCTCACCACAGACTGGGCCTGTTAAGAGTGAGGCGTTGCTTGTTTCCAGCCCGACCAGCAAGTTCTTCTAAACTTGGCCAAGGTATGGGAATCTTATATTTTGAGAAAGTGGCTCCTTATTTTCACATATTCTATTAGAGCAACCAGACCATAAGTGATCCATAACTTTAATAGATCACTCAATAATAAAATTTTCACATCAAAAAATTTGAATTCACGATCTCATGAATTACGTGTCAACTCCATACTAACCAAAATGATACTCCTCAGATCCTTAATATAAGACCCATTTAACTAATTTGATTATATTAAGAAAGTTAGGTAAGTTAATTAATTATAAGAAATGTGACATGTTTTTTTCCTAAAATACCATAATCATCTTTCTTAATACCCCCTTTTTCTCTTGTGTTTGATTATGGTTGAAGGAGTATCCATAGGGGTAATTTAGAGAAAATTGATAAATATGAGAAATGGGTCTTATATTTATGACCAAAACTGACTCAGCAATTAGGTCTTATATTAAGAACCGGAGGAGTATTTAATAGTTCATGTCATAATAATTTTGATATTAACATCTTCAACAACCTTTCTACGAGATTTAGAGACATTTTAGTCACTAACTTGACTTCGTGTTCTTCTGCAAATTTTTTTACCGTGGCCTTATTATTCAAAAATAAAATATTCTTCCAGTTCTAAATATAATACCTTTATACTAATGTGTATAAGGGTCTTATATTTAGGACCAGAAGAGTAAAAACAGTAACTCATCTACCTAATATTTTGTTTGTTTCGTTTTCAATGTACACTCGACATAAATTTAGAGAAAGTAATGTGTCTTCTTTTTATCACTTGAGTATTTTATTTCAATGCACACACAAAATAAGTTTAATTATTTAATTAACTCTCACCTTGGAATTAAAAAAAATTACGACTCAAGTACATAGATATTGTTTATCGCTCTATAAAATTGGCAAGCTTAGTTTGAATTAAAAAAAAAAATATTGAGAACATCCTTTTTTTCATGAGCACGAACGAGAATTTTGTTCGCCTGCATTATATTGTTTGCATCCAAATTTTCTTCTTATAATTCTCATGCATAAAATTTTTTGAAATTCAACCATAGGAACGGTTGACTTTTCTTCAACTATAATAAGTAGTACGTAGTGATAGTCATAGAAGCAATCATCAACGACTATAATTTTTTCGGCAAATTCCAAAAAATTCACGTATAGGTTAGTTTTATACTTAAGATGTGCCGACCATTAATTAATGGCCACAGATTTTATTTGATTTGGGAAACATGTGTATTTTCCATGTATCCCTCTGTTTTCTTCTGTTTGCAGCGAACCTATAATGCCATGTCAGCAATACTAATATATTTTTACCCGTGCTTTCCTTTAATTTGTGTGACAAAATTAAACAACCTTAATTTCTTCAACAAAGGCAGCTTTGGCCTTTTTGTACATATATATTTTACCCCGCGTGGATGCATTATATATTCAAACCCAACACGATGTACGCGATTTTATGGACCAAGTTTTATGAAATTCTCCACGTTTTTTCACGGCATCCAAAATAAAACAAATTCACGGTAAAGAATATATATATATATATATATATATTTATATGAGATATGTTTAGAAATACCCCTACGTCACCCATGTCGTTCATATATGATATATGAAAGTGATCATAATTATTCAATATTCCCTTTGAAATATTAATGTCGTTTATTTTTGTTTTTTTTTTTTAATTTCCACACCATATCACCCATCGCTATGCATAAAACATTTAATTTGTCTACCAAATTTTCTGGGCTGTTTAAAATAAGTCAGTTTTTCCTTTTTATTGAAGATG